GGAGGCAAAACAGGAAGTAAAAGGTGAATATATATTTCCTGGGTTGAGACAATCACATTAGGGTGACCAGGTTCAAGAGAACTTAATGCTGATGCACTTTTACTAATTCTGCTGACATTCCTCTTTTAGGCAATTATTAAAGCAATAGAAGCTCTACCCTCTTATACCCTTGGCCACGCAATTTAGAGCCACTGTTTTGTTTTCACATGATACTGCTACAGGTAATCCTCAATTTATAGCAGATCATTTAGTGACCATTCAAAGCTACAACGGCACCGAAAAAGTGACTTATGGCTGTTTTTGACACAACCATTGCAGCATTTCCATGGACATGTGATCAAAATTCTTCTCCAAAGGTGCTTTTTCCAAAAAGCAACTGGACTTCCTTTGCTGTTCCTTGAAGACATTTCGTTTCTCATCCCAGAAGTTTCTTCAGTTCTTCTACATGTCAGAACTGAAGAAACTTCTTGGATGAGAAGTGAAAGTTCTTCATGGAAAAACAAAGGAAGTCCAGTTACCTATTGAAAAAAGCACCTTTGAGATAACCATGACTTGGATGACTGAGAATCTCCTAGAAAAAGTGACTTCTCATTTCCATGCTTCTCCAAAAAATATTTTTGATTACAGTGATTTATTTGAATCATTCACTCTACTCAAATAGAACTACATCATCACACTATGAATTACATCATCAAAGTTGAATCAATCAATTAACAGCCAGTTACTAACACATTACACTTAAAGAGGCAGAGCTAGGATTAAAGAGGATTTCACTGATTTGTTTTTGGTAAAGTAAATGTTTTAACCTGCTGATAGTCCTCATTTAATAGGTCCTTGTTCAGCAACTGTTTAAAGTTACAACAGATCTGAGGGGAGTGTATAACTACCCCTCGAGTGATCAAGTGATTATGATTTGGGCACTTGGAAACCAACTTGCAATAGAATGGAATAGAATAGAATTCTTTATTGGCCAAGTGTGATTGGACACACAAGGAATTTGTCTTTGGTGTATATATTCTCAGTGTATATATAAAAAAGAAAAAAACACTGCAATTATGACATTGCAGCATTTGATGGTCTTATGTTCACATTTTGCAACCTTCACTGTCAGCTTCAGACAAGCAGTGTCAATGGGGAAGTCGGCAGGAGGTTACAAAGGGCGACCACTTGACCCTGGGCCATTGCAACCATGTGGGATTACCTACCAATGCCAACTGGGACTGCCAAAATTGCTGTTGTAAGTTGGCATGGAGATTGTGCTTTGTGATCACACTGTTTTGCAATGCCAGTTACTGTGAGTTAAAAAGATTATAGAGATATACCTTAAAGAGATATAAGGTAACTGAAGACTATAGAAGTCTAACTCAGATATTTAATAGGTTTTATAATAGATCTACACTGTGCTTGGCAGAGATTTAACACTATTTTTTAAAACAGGTACAAGAATCCAGTGGACATCATGTGATAATGAGGACTGTAAACTTTGGGTACCATTTTTGAAATTCTTGCACTCCAAACATTAAGCTTATGGAAGAAATTTTCATATTAATTTTTGACAAATGCATGAAATCACATTAATATTTGCATGCAAGAAGAAGAATAAACAAGTATATCAGCACTCATTCACAGGTGTATGCGTAAGCAGAAGAATTCTTTCTGGAACTACGCAATAGCTTCAAGGAATGGTGAAGTCGAACAAGCATACGAATATCTTAATTTAAAATCTGGTTTTTTAATTAAGCAAGATCCTTAGCAGTCAACCTTGCTGATGGTCTGAGACTAGACCAAAATGAGGTGACATATTCACTTCATTCATCTTTCCTTCATTTGCTAAATGAAACCCATACTGTTATGTTTGAACAGCAGTAGGTAGAATGTTAGCAATTAATAATTAGAGATGATGTCCTGTAGCTACAATGTAGTAGTTTCTGAGTTTCACTTAACAATGGAAAGTAGTCGTTTTAATGAACTTGCAAGAATAAGCATTTAGCAATGCTGCAAACTGAACTGCTATAAAATAAGCCACTGGAGAGGGCACCTGAAGTTTTACAGCAATAATCTGTTGCCCTGATAAATAGGAACTATGTTTGGCTGCTTATATACAATGGTTGCTATTTTGAAACTTTCAAAACTTCTGCAAACAATTGTAGAAAATTGTGAACTTTAATTCTCAATTCACCTTTCACTTCTCCACAATTTTTCAGCGGGAGAAATGCTACATCCTTTGTTTAAAATGCACCACAGCATGGAAAAGTACCATGATAAAAGAAAGAAGCAGGCTAAATGGCCAGACATTTTTTCACCCTGATACAGGAAGCACACATGACCGATGCTAGTTCTACAGTTGAGTAGTCATACTTTTTAAGGTGGGTTGAAATTTCTATCACATGCAGGTCCTATTCTTCTAATTAGTCCACATATGGGAACCATTTTTGGCAAAACATATAGTAAATTCTAGGTTGGATATTTTTGAGATCAACAGGTAATACTACTTACACAAATCTATCTGTTACCTAAAACCACTGCAGCTGTTGCTTGATCTGGTTGTTAAGAGCTAAGTCAACCAAGACTGAAACAATCAGAATACTTTTTATGCAGTTCAGTTTTTAAATGAACTAAAAATGATAATAAAGTTTCCCTCCAATTGAGTTTAACTTCTGATGGACTCATTGGTGATTTCCTTGGCATCTATTCAGAGCTATATTCTTCTGGAAGACCTTTTTTTAAAAAAGACTTCTCAATCTAGTCTCTTCTATAGCTTTGCCATTTTTGGATAGCTTCCACTGTTACACAATAGAACATGACCTCCCAGCAGGTCCAGCCCCTTTTAACTTTCAGAGATCAGCCAAAGTCAGCATTACTATGTTTTTAAAAGTTTGGTACCAGCCTGAAAATAGTGCACAATTGAATTTTTTTAAAAAAACGAGAGGAGTGAGGGGGATGTATCAGAAGAAAGAACCAACCAAATTATGAGTTTTGCAGTCAGCCAGTACTGTGAAATCCATAAGAACTTTCTTTCTTCTCTCATTTATCCACACCATTTTTTATTCAGAAAGTACGTGAATGGAAACCACGGCTTCCATTTATTGATGTATGTGCCTCCGTAAATATGCACACCCTGTATGTTTTTGTTTTATTTCCCCTCTCTGTTATAATTTTGTACATTTTCTTTTTCTTTCTTTTCTTGCATTTAATTTTAAAAAGGAAAATTAAAAACAAAAGTATCTGAATGGAAAAGCTTGTGCACAGTAACTCACATTCTATTAAGGAATTCACCACTATCTAAAAAAATGATCAGCCTATTGTCCCAATATATGTAGCTATGTCCATTGCAGGAACGAGGTTTTCCCTGAAGAAGGCAAGCTAAACAGAAGAATTCCTGTCTATGATGCATGACCTGCTGTTGATTATCAGGGTTTATTGTGCTGAGGTGAAATCTGGTAGATATGGAATTAATCTGTATGGATCTGATTTTAATCAGGACATTTTTGCAGAAATATTAGCATGCTGTTAAAACACACAGAATAAAACCCCCCATATGCTTATTTTCAATTGTGCAGCAGTAAAATATTCAGATGTTTGCGATTCAATCACACCTTTGGTTCCAGCATGTCAAATCCTCCTGTGTCTGCTTTATCCCTAGGCAATACCAATACAGATAATCTCAGGTTCCTCTGGAAATAATCATGAACCAGAGCCAAGCCAGACACTGACCTTGAAGAATTTATCAATTTTGCTGAGGTTGATTCTCTTCTTGGCATCTAATTTGTAAATATTACTGACATTTCCATCCATCAGGTACAGACCAAAACCCATGACCTAAAAGAAAAATACGAGCAACATCTGAATATTTGTCACAGTCATTTCATAGTTACTGTCTGAAAGAAAGAAAAGACCATATTCCATGCATAAATTTTCAATTAAAAAAAATCTCTCTCATAATATCTGAGACTACATTTACTCTGTAACTAACCATAACATACTTTTGATTTCTGAAGGAAGCTTCCTTAAATTGCTTCAAAGTATTTGTCCAGTTGACTCAATATTGTCCAGCCAGACTGGCAGCAGTTTTCTGAATGTAAAGTTATTTTATCTTGGCCTGCTTGTACATCTTCCATTTGCACTGCAACATTTTTTAGAAAGTGCACACACACAAAATATTAGGGCCTTTCTATGACCCACAGGCTTCAATCCCTTATATAAATAAAGAATTTTCAAATTGACTCGGAAAAAGACTTGCAGGATTTTTTGAATGTATTTTTAAATAGTTTTAAATCTTTCTTTTAATAATCCAGAAGTTATCTTTTCATGGAAAAGTTAAAAAAAATCTGTATACAGTCTACAAAGAGAAAAATGCCAAAAAACTCCACCAAAAACCAAAAACCACACCAAGACATGCATCATGAAAATAGGCAACACAAAATACTGAAAGATGGCTAAAATACATTTGCAGAGAATTAAAAGAAGTTACCTTCAAAAGCATATGCTTCTCGCTGGGTGTCAAATACATCTTGTTTTCATAGTAATCCACACAGATGTTGACAATATCAGCCAACAGTTCTTCATAACCAGGGATTACTTCCAGCTGCTGATGCAAGCACTTAAAAAAAAATTCCACAAGACCTTCACAAATGTTCAATGGGAATGAAATAAAAGGTTGTAAAGTTTAATTTAGCGTCTTCCTTGCAATGTATAGGCAAGGAATTAATTTAAATGAGTACTGCTTACATCAAGCACTGCCTTTGCTCCTAATAGTTGTATGCAGTGCTGGTTAGTATAAGAACAATTAAACCTCTCTTTCCTATACTTATCTGCCCATTCTTGATGTATTTCTGCTACCACCATTCTTTTTGAAAAGGCAATCGTTTTGACTTCTGCACTAGCCAATTCTACATTTAGTAGCTTGCAAGATAGTTGTTTACAAAGGCCGCAAAAGCAATAATTTAAGTGTTTGTATAAAAAAATGAAGTGGAGTTCTTGGTTTTCTCTGTCATCCTCTATAAAAACCTCCCCTCTGCAAAAAACTAAAACCAAACCTTGACACAGGGCAAATTACTATACATAAACAGGCAGCACACCCTACTCTCAGTGACACTGACAATGTTACCTAGTTGGATAATGAAATGTTGGTAAGCAAACAACCTAGCTCAGAAAGCAGCAAGAACTCCATAGTTCAACCCTGAGCTATATATATATTATTTTGTTGAAATGGTATAGGGACAAGAGATTTAGTAGTGGATTATGCCAAATGATTATTATCAGGGTGTATTCCTGACTCTATGCATTTCTCGCTCTTTCTGTGTATATGTGTGTTTCTATGTATTTGTATGTGTGTCTGTGTGTGTGAATGCATCTATTGTATAGAATAAAAAACCCAGTATTTGGTTGCTATGGAAATGTGGTTAAAAGCCTTGCACGAAATTTGCTATTTCATAGCACAGTGTTTGTTATTTAATGGAGTTGATGTATAAGTGCCATCTATATTGATTTCATAATTGCCCAGTGCTTCATAAATAGTCCAAGCTGACTAATTTCCTATGTAACAACTTGCATTTAATAAGGCCCAAAGACCCAAATACAAATAAGGCCTAACAGTTATAAATATATTTCTTATGATGTACTATGTTCTCCAGACTCAAGTCCAAAGCATACATGTCAGGTCAAAGTAAACTTATTTAAATATCATAATATGTGGGGAAAAAAGATAAAAGAAAACATTCTACCTGAGTGATCCTATTATGGTTTGCTAGAAACATGGACAGGTTCTGTGATTCCTGAATAGACTGAGGATCAGCCATTTTTCTTAAAAACTGGGCTGCTCTGAAAAAGAGAAATTCAATTTTGTTGATAAGTTGGAACATCATACCAGCATATTGCTGAGTAACACAGACTTATAAAACAGAGCACAAAAGCAATACAAGAATGTCATTTCATTATCTTTATTCCACCATAAATATATTTTGACACAAAACAGGATTTAGAAGCCTCTTGACTAAATACTATTAACTTTGGATCTTTATCTCAGCAATAAGCCCTATGAAAATACACATGTATGTATTAATCTCACCTTTTGTAAGCAGAGTGGTCATTTTTGACACTGCACTTCATGTTCTTCAATTCATCCAAGACTGCAAACATATTGATAAACTTCCCCAATGTCAGTAGATACGCTTCTGAAACAAAGTCTTTCCTTCTCTCTGCATGGCACAAACGCTTGACTTCACCACAGAATCGTTCAATGGCCTTTCTCTAAGAAATAGTAAGACAGCAGTAATTTAAAGAAGGAGTAAAAAGGGAGGAACTGTCAGTAATGGGTGAGAAATGAGGCTTTATTAAGTGCCTGAAATTCCACTATCTCAGATCTAAGCTTGAACCTGCCTTATTTCCACCTCCTAAAGAGTTAAGGGATGTTGTTGTTTATTCATCCAGTTAATCTATTGGTCTCAACATACCTGGTCTAGTGAAACAGTCTAAGAAACTAAAAATGGCAATTGGCCCAGACTGTGACATCCAGAAAATACTCCAAACAAGCTGAGAAAATACTAGGAAGCTTCCAAGTGCTTGGCGAATTGAAAAAGAAGGGATTCTTTTGGCTATGCTAACTGTATCATTGTGAAGCATTTGTTTTTGTATACCAGCTCTTATGCCTTGTTTTCCTTATGTGTGGTGGCTAACTTCCATTTTTCCTGGTTTTGCCTTTGGCATGATGCATTTCTTGCTTTCTTTGTTTCTATTTTTTTTAGAAAGTACACATTGGAGATATTTTCTTTAGCACCCACCATTAACCTGCTGTCTCCATGGTATGGGGCTGAATTTTGAGTTCTGGCCTTGATTCTGATTTTTTTTTCATTTGGTAGTTGGACTTTTTCTTTAAAGCCTCACCAAATTATCTGTTTGAAAACTGACATTTTGTTATTTACTACTCCTCTAAAGAATTTAACTGAGCAAATATTTTCCTCAGTTTGCACTAGATCGTGAAATGTATCTGAGCAGGATGGTGCTTCATGTGACACAATTAAGCAAAAAGTGACCACCACACCATAATATTTTTTTTTTGATGGTATCACCTAATTGTATGTTTGTGCACTTGAGTAGCCCACAACTATGATACTGTTCAAATATACAGTATTTAAAATATTTCTCCTGTTACTTTTAGTTTAGTCTATTTCTATCATATTATCTTCCAACTTAAAAGGCTTTCATTATCTGGGGCCATGTCCTTGGGTTTGCTTATTTGGACTATGATTTGCGGTGCAGTTAAACATCTTTCAAAACCGACCACAATGTACCTCACATTAGATTAGAGAATGGTTTTCCCACATCTGTGTAACTAGTTTTTTTAGGCAAGCAGAAGGAAAGGTCAGCCAATATTGACAAGAACTTGAGTACTGTCTGTGTGGCATCCAATAACATTCATTTGTTGACAAAATGGCAAACCGATTGAATGCTAGCTTTTCCCGACACCCATCAAATCTGCCTCTGGAGAATATTGTGTCTTTCAAAACAGTTTATACAGTCAGCAGAAATTTGTTCATACAATTTTAGATATACTGCCCTCTTTTACAAATTAAATCAAAATAAGATACCATGTAGGAAAAAGAACAATATTAAGCACTTAGCAAAATCATCATGTCTTGGGTAAGTTTACTGAAAAAATGATATTTTATTTATTTATTTTATTTATCAAATTTATTAGTTGCCCATCTTACCACAGGATAACTCTGGACCAATAGAAGACCTATTTTTATTTGTACAGTATCTTACACCCAGGGTTTTTCATAATAATAAGTGAAGAGGACCCAAGTGAAGCATAGGAATTTGGAACACCTACCTGAAAGTACATGAACTTCATGAGTTTTGTCACTTCTGGCTCTAAGACTTCCACTGTCTTCTCATAAATCTCTACTCGGTTTGGTTGCTCATTACACTTTACCTGAAAGTTAACATAACAATTTGATATTAGTAGTCCTCATGGACATGATGAAGAAGATCCATGGGACATAGAGCAAGATCATTTTTAAAGGGTCAGTTTTAAAAGTCTGACATAGCAAAAACAAAAGATCTTGGAGTGCTTTTCAGATAAAACCAATTTAGAATGGGAGGGGCTTTCACAGGCAAATCATAATCAGTTGTCAGATAAAAGGCTTCTAAATGAGAAAAATGCAAAATTGTCAGAAAGTTATTAGTACTAGGAATATTCCATCATTTACATGATGACACTTTTATATACAGTTTGTTCTCTAGATCAGAATGAACCAATGTTGCTGATGCTTACTTCATTTATTACATTAATTTATATATATTTTTTGCCAACGAATAGCATTCACAAGCTTTTCAGAAGCCAAATACTTTTGTCTTTTACATTTAGCTTGCTGAAAACCCATTTCTTCATTCCAGCCTCCTTGATATGAATGTTCTGGGGAAAAGCATAATAATGCATGTGACTTACTATAATTGTATTTGTTGATTTTATTACATATTTTATTAGTTATGCATACTATTCTAGATACATCACTCCTTATCACTCATCCCCTCCCACTTGTGACTGTATGACTGTAACTTTGTCGCTTGTATCCTTACGATTTATATTGACTGTTTCCTAGTATGATTTGATTGCTTATTGTACCCTATGACTATTATTAAGTGTTGTATGATTCTAGACTCTTGACGAATGTATCTTTTCTTTTATGTATACTGAGAGTATTTATACCCAGACAAATTCCTTGTGTGTCCAATCACACTTGGCCAATAAACTAAACTAAACCTATTCTATTCTATTTTATTCTATTTTCTATTTTCTATTCTATTCTATTCTATTCATCTAACATTATAACACAAAATAGATTATTATGGTTGGTTGCGCAGTCAGCCAGATGTTTAGTCTGGATTTGGCATTTTGGTTCACCTATCAAGTGTAAGTCAATTAACTGCAGGATCAAATTCTCTTAACTGAAGATTATGGAGTGTAATTTACCCAATGGTCCAAAGTGAGTTTGTAGTATTTTTTTTCAACTTCCTAGTCTAGAGGTGGACTGGCCCAAATTCACCCAACCAGAATCTGTGCTTGGAGTACACTAGAACCTGTGTCTTTACACTCTAATCCAGCACTACACTGTCCATAATAGGTTTAAATAAGAAATAAAATCATCTGAGTGAATGCTTATTTATTAGTGATTTGTTCCTTTGGAAACACAGGTAGTAAAAAGCCCACTGGTCACCGTGGGTCATTTTTCTTTGGGTCCTATAAGTTATTAGAGTGTCTTCTGAGAAAAAGAAAAGCATATAGCATTCTTAGAGAATATTTCAATTTCTTGACAGAAACTTCTCTCTAATTGAAGTGGATTACAATTTAACTTGACATCTTACCTGGGGAATAGCTCTGGAGCAGCTCCTCCAAGTATAAAGCATTACTGCATATTCATGCCCTTCCTCCAACATCTCATTCTGAAACACATTTGGACAATGTAATAGCACTAGTTGTCATGTAACAGTCTACCCTGCATCCCCTCAGTCAGCTCTGGATCACCTGATACCTACCATGCTAGAATGCACTGTTGCTTGCTCAATGTATCTAGCAATGCCAGTTACAAAAGCATTTCTGTCTTCAAAATTTGTATCAAAGTTGGCCTGAAAGTAGATAAAGAAATAGTTAAATATTATTTTTATTTGGGTTTTCATTTGTTTTCAGAGATTTTCCATTGTCCTATTGTAGGAGTTACCTTAGCAATGTGAAACCAGTTAAAATGAAAAATGTAACACTTTATAGAAATAATGCATAAGAAATTAAACAGCTATAAAACAGTTATCAGGTAACAGAATGTAGTTATCTATCTATCTCAATATTAAAAAACCTGTAAGTGAATAGTACTACTGTACTAATAAGATAAATCAGATTAAAGCAAGAAAAAAAATAAAACAATTAAAAAAATATTAGCTTTATAGTGATTTAGTGATTTAACTGCTTGGCTAAGATCAAGTGTACAGTGCATTATATAATGATAACTGCACATTTGATCACTTGGGTATATACATAACTACAAAATCCCTTTTTAGTTCACGTGCAAAACCCAGAGGGGAAAGTTTAAAAAAACATTTTTATAATATATTTATTGATATTTACCTTATTAAAAAATAACATTTTTGCATTCATTGGTAGAAATGAAATCGATACTAGAGCATCTCAAAACTGTTTGATGGGAATCCTAAGTTCATATCAAAACATATTTTGATATTAGGAGCAAACCAGTAAATTTAGCCAAGCTTGTATCTCTTAAAAGTCTGCATAACAACTAATTTTAAATGCTTTGTCAAAAGAAGCCAGTCCATATAATTTCCACTAATCTTTCTCCATCAGATTCAAACAAAATTCGTAAGAAATTAAAATGAAAGAAGAACCAAAAATTTCCAAATTCCTGGAGGAGGGAAGATATGAGTTCAAAAAAATATTAACTTGTTTTCATGCCACTAAATGAGAATACAGCTTTACAGCCAAACTATCACATGGCTAACGTTCTTATCCTACTTCTTTGAGTTTTTTTTTTACTTGTCCTCTTCCACATTATTCTATCTGCCTCTTGGAATTCTCCAATATTTTCCCCATTGACAAACTTTCTTCTTCTCTTCAAAGTATGATTGATGAGTTACTTTAAGGTATGATTCTAAGGAAATATTGGTTACCTGGTACATAATGGATGATGGAGGTGGCTCGATGCATGGCTGCTGATCTGGTAATGGCAGCTCCTCCAGGAGGTCCACATTGGACAGAGCATCTTCCAGGGTTACGTGAGTTGTCATGGTTCCCAGCTTTTAGACTCACCGCTAAAACAACAATAACAACTGCTTACATTGTGAGACTGAAATAGAAATACATAACTATAGAATGAGTACTGAAGGAAATCAGGCAACAACACAAAACATGACTGTTTCTGATGGGGACTATGAGTTCTAGTGCCACCTTAGGCTGGGTCAGCTGGGTGATGTTTAGGACAAGAGCTTTCAGTGTGAAACTGTCCTTGGAAATTCTCTATCCTCCAGGTCATGTTCCAAAGGTGCTTTTTCAAAAGGTAACTGAATTTCTGGTTTTCCGTTGAAGGAAGGCAGTAGCCTTAACATTTAGTTTACAGTAAACCCCCCCCCCCGATCAATATTTATATTTTGATTCCTTCTACCCACTGGAGCACAAAAAGGGAATTATGAGAACCCTACACCACCCTACACCACCCTACACCAATGAAAGCCTGCCTACCAGCAAATATGGAAAAGAAAAAGAACCAAAACGTATCAAGGAAGCCTTCAGAACATGTGGCTATTCTAAGTGGGCCTTCATCAAATCTCAAAAAAGACCCTACAGGAGCTCGTCCATAACAGACAATGAAGAGAACAATAAACAAAGCAACATTGTCATCCCATACGTTGCAGGATTATCGGAAAAGCTCAGGAGGATCTTCAGCTCACACAACATACGTGCATACTTCAAATCCAAGAATACACTGAAGCAGAAGCTTGTCCACCCCAAGGATAAAACACCCAGACACAAACTGAGCAATGTATATGCAGTACAATGCAGTGAGCCATGTGCAGATCTGTACATTGGGAAACGAAACACCACTTCATAAATGCATGGCACAATGTAGGAGAACAAACGTATCAGAACAAGATTCAACAGTCCATCTGCACTTGAAGACAGCAAAGTCCACATTTTGGACAGAAAGGACTACTGGTTGGAAAAAGGGGTCAAAGAGGCCATCTATGTCAAAATTGAACAGCCCTCTCTTAAGAGAGGGGGAGGGATACAACATCATCTATCTTCAGTCTACAACACAGTCCTTTCAAGAAGGCTCCACACCCATTTGCACTGCTCAGGTGACCCTGAGGCCAGGTGGCCTCAGTGACTCTATAAAAGAATTCAACTGACTAGCTGTCTGCAACGAGTACAAATCCTTCCATTCTCCATTCTGACCATCCAGTCAGAGTTGAAGAAGCTTCTTGAATGAGAAGTGAAATGTCTTCAAAGAAAAACTAGAAAGTCCAGTTGCCTCTTGAAAAAGCACCTTTGTGACTTCAGTGTGAAACTGATTAAAAGCTGGTCTGTTTCAAGAAGCAAGAGAGAGGGAGCCCAGGGTCTTAATCAGCTCATTAAGGTCACAGAGTTGATCTTACTAATTTTTCCTTAGAACTTTAAGAAAGTGCTAAGCTGCAGAGACAAGCAGTTCAGGAAGAGATACCTTGCAACAGGGGCAAAAAGTAGGGGGAAAGACACTGTAGGAGAGAACTTTATCTGCACAAGATGGCAACAATTACTGATCTTCTCAGCTCTCTCAGTCATATGTTCACTTAGTGACCATTTTTCTTATGACCCTATCATTGGAACAGAAGTGGTCATCAAATGAAGAGAGGGTATAAGCTAAACTACTAATAAGAGTGTGCCAATCCAAAGATATATATCAAATGATTTCTCTCCTGTGACTGAGCAAAGCAACTGCTCACCTAGGCTTCATGAAAATAATAGCATAAAGCAAGAGAGTTTTAGGAAAATGACCTATGGGGCCCTCCTATTTTATCTGAAAAAACTTAATCTGAATGCTTCTGCACATGAAGAAGCTAAAGAAACTAAAATATTGAATTTCAATGCCAAGGTAGCAACCCTAATTATAAAAGTCAATTACCTTGGAGAATTATTGGCACTATAATAATATTGTTTCGAAGGCAATGAGGTGACATTTGTTTTTTTCACAGCAATCTTATCTCTTGTATAATCATTTGGAGGGGAGGGGTTTCTGCTTGCAGATGTGCAAATAAATTTGGAAACTAATTTCACAGAAAAGCAGTCTTTTTCAACTGGTATGTGAGGCAATGTAGAAGCACTACTATTTCATTGCAACCTAAACATCATAGTAAGCAGTTCAAAGAGCTCAGCAGGCAGAGAACTGTTTCATCAAAAGAAAACACAAAAAAAAGAGTTGGAATTATCTCCACCCAAATATCTCCACAATGTATGGAAGATATGGAAACTAACAGAAGTGTTTCCAAAGGATGGATGGGTATCAAAAAAAGTCAAATGGTGCCCCCAATCCTGTTCATATGTATTATATATAAAATATTGTCCTCAAATATTATTTGCAAAAGCATTGCTAAAATAGGAGTTGAAAAGCAGTTTTTCTCTTTCAAAACTGCACAAAAAATCATGATATATTCTATGAGGTTTCACAAAAATGAAGCTTCTCTTCTTTATTAGCATCTTTATAGTTTAACAATTTAAAGACACAAAAATTTATTGGTGGGACTTTACAAGCTTCTTATCTTCTGCATCAGGGGAAATTTCCCTACTATGTTATTCCCACAAAGAAGCTGTGTTAAAGGGACAGGGACATGAGACACACACTCACACTTGGCAATCCAACAACTCTAATAAAGAAACGAATCAGGTTTCTTAATCCACAATAGTTTCTACTGTTTACGTAGGTAATTTTAACTTTGTGTTCCCAATTCTTGATTTCTAAAAAAGCAAATGAGTTGTTGGAGCAAGAGATCTACCCAGCATTCTCACATGAATGAAGAACATCTGCCAGTTAATGTTGGAGTTATTATCACAAGCAATCCGAGCCAAAGAAAGTTGCCCTTTTGCAAAGCTGCAGCAATGGGTTCATGGGGTCATCGATCAAAGGTCAGCATGAAATATTAGCCAACAGAAACCATCTGTGCCTCCTCGTAGGCCTAAACCAGGCAGGGTTGATTGAAGTGAGATCTCAAAAGTGAACAAAACAGGATGGTGGGGGAAGGGGTGTTGAGGAAAGGCAAACAAACTGTTAGGTCTGTGGTTCATGTATAAGTGCAACACTTCCTGCATCATCATGCTCAAGAGACAGCAGTTGCAACTCCAGATTCTCAAGATGTAACAGCTGGATGTTAGATGAAGATTATTCAATACCAATGAACTTGAAAGAGGGACTTTTGAAAAATAGGCTGTTTTACTTTTTGTACAGGAAATACAAAAACACAGAAAGCACTATCACTGTACAATCTGGAGTGATTTATGGCTTCATTACAAAACAAATCCATGGAGATTCACCTACCCCCTTTTCATACAGATAAGTATACAAGTATTTCCAGCCACTACAAAGCAAATGAAATCAGTAATATGCTTGGATCTCTGGAATGAATTTGCTACTTTATGAACACAGAAGAGCTAGTTAATTAATTTGGGGTTCCTTCATTCCAAAATGTACAGTTATTACTTTCCAGAGATGCTCAGAAAACATAGCTCTTTCATGTGCTTCTAGTATCAATCTAAGGCAGCAGCAACTCCAGTGGAAAATAAACTTTTAATTGGCTTGGTGACATCTGAAAGAACTATATGAATCTGGAAAAACTGCATTCTTGCACATTCATTTGCTGATTTTGGTTGGAAGTATTCAATTACATGGAACACATAATTTAATTGTGCTGCCATTCAAATGCTGAATCTGATATTGATTCAGGATTCTTCAGTTTATTTGCATTTATTTTATACATTTTTGTTAATTGCAGTATGGAAACAAGGGACATAAAATTCAGAAAGAGTTTGGTAGGTTTTCTAACTAACAAATGTTACTAAAACATGTAAGTATTTGTGGGGACTTCCAGCGGAAGAATGGAGAATTGAAGACAGCTCTGGAAAAGGACAGCCAATGACCAAGGCAAAGGAGGAGGAACTGGTGAGTGGATAGGTCCTAGGAACATCTCCAAATAAGGATGGAAGATTGCCTACGTGTGCTCCGGATAGTTGTTTCTCAGGAGTCTGTAGGACATTGGTTTTCTGAGATTTGAATACTGAAAAACAATTGGTGTCATCATCTTGCTCACAATCACAGTGGAAACTTTTAAAGGACACTAAGTTTGCAAACTGCACTTTGCAAATCACTCATGGAAATTGCTCATTAACTACTTCTAAGCTATTAGAAATCTTCAAAATGACAAGTTTGAAAACATCAGGTGAGTCTGCTTTTAATTCTGGATGAAAGAATACTTTAATTATAAGTTTATAAATATGAAATAAGCAGCAAAAAGTAAATATGATTTTGATCTTAGAAAGTTATATATCAACTAAAGGTCCAAAAAAAAGGAATACTGAATCTTTTATAGTAATATTTTTTAATTAATTATAAACACCTTTTCATGGGAAATAGATTTTATTTTGGTTTTCACAAGACATAACATAGATATGGAATTTCATGATTCCAAAAATGAGTCCAGAAAAACTGCATGCTTGCACATTAATTTGCTCATTTTGATTGGAAGTACTTGATTGCATGGAACTCATAATTTGATTGACTGGACACTGGAGAGGACTAAATTTTGGGTAGAGGAAAGATATACAGGTCAACAAGATGGTTATGACGTTTGAAGAATGGAATCAGAAAATGGTAGCCACAATAATAACAATGTCAGTAATGATATCTGCTTCCATGATAAGACTATGTCCAACAGATGTGATTGAAAAAATATCATATGTAGAACAAATTTTATCTGACAAGACGGAGGTGGATTGAAAGTGGATTTGCAAGTAACAGGTCAAGACAATAGTTAGAAAAGAATGTTTCACTTGATGTAAAAAAAAAAACAAACCTGGTTAGATTTTAAAATTTAGAAAGGAAATATAAATGATAAACCAAGAGAACGACCTGGATATTTTTGCAACTAGATTTACAGAATGATGGAATAGAGAGTATGACAATATGGAAATCTCAAGAAGCTAATATTGAGGCAGGGGGTATATTCACATTCCTATCATTCATGGGAACTATGACAGGAGGCTTTTGGTGAGCCATTCCAGAAGAAGG